GTCCTCCCTACTCCTCTTCCCTGGACTGTTTGGTCATGTGTGTCGCCATATCTGCTATACACAACTCCACAAAGAAAGGCATGACTGTGCCCTGTTTCATCCGACTGTTGCGCTTACCTGAAGGAGCCTCCCCCCTCTTCCATCCGTGATCCTCGCCCCCCCTCCCTCCTCCATCCATGCTCATCGCTCTCCTCCCACCTCCTCCATCCATGATTGTCGCCCTCCTCACTCCTCCATCCATGATCATTGCCCTCCTCACTCCTCCATCCATGCTTGTCGCCCTCCTCCCCCCTCTTTTATCCATGCTTGTCACCGGCTTATCCCGAAGTGTATGTGATTAAGGGGGGGCGGAGCATTGGGGCGAACGAGGCAGGGTTTTCCAGTGAAAAGAATGTGGTTTGATGGCACTTCTTGGTACGGCTACTCATCCATCAGAATGCTCTTTGACAGAAATATGACACACTGTGATGATGCTTGAACTTCACGGTTTTGGCAGATAATATACCTTTGCGGAGCAGCCGCACATTATCCTGCAGCTTGGTGAGAAGAGACGGATACATCTCCAACTGATCAATTGCTGCAATGGCATTGCTTGCTAAATATGGTGGAAGGGCTGCTGAGAAACAATAGCCTGCTCCCATTAACCTCTGCATGTTTTTTCCGCACAAATTCCAAACCACAGTGGTGGCAATACGTCAAGACTTTCGGATGTTAGTAATTTGCATGCTGCTATTCCAAACCACAGGGGGGGTGTTAAAAAAAAAAATAAAAAAAATCTATTAGATGATTTTCTCATTCATTTCTCCTCCTCCCTCAGTTAGCAAGTAGTCATTACCATATCCTGCACTTCCAAAATTTTCCCTTAGGATCCCATCACACACGACAATACCCCAGCACGAAGCACACATGCCGGAAAGATGCATCCAGTGTTCTTTAGGCACAAAAATACGCTGAAGCATATCACAGCAAACAGAGGCATACAACCTTGGTCATTATTACCATACTCGGCACAGACTTCGTGTATGGAAGAATGTCTACTGTGCTTGCATGCCAAAAATCCCCATAACAAGAACATCTTTGAAAAGTATGCGAAGTGTGGAAAGGTCCGGTGGCGGTTTGCAAAAAATGAGTTCGCCGATTCTGGCAGTTTTTTTGTGCACAAGAAAAACATCAGGTGGGTAGATTTGGTGCTGATTTTTTCGGGTGAATTGATCCCACACTAAGACATCGCTTCACAATGTCACAAATTCAGGTCTATCGTGTGCTGGTGTTTCAAGTCTGAAGAGAACTGGAGTGAATACTTGCATCACTGTCGTTGAGGAGTTTGACATCACGTGTACAACGTTGCAAACCCACCATAGGTGCATCATCTTCATTTCTGTGTCTCGAGTTTGGATTGGTGTGTGCACAGTACCCGGTGACTGCAATTCTGAAGTTGTTTTTGAGAACTGTGTGGGGACTTCTTTGAAGAAAGCCAACTTGATTTTCATGTGTCTGGTGTCACTTCCATATCTGCATGCACATATGGACATGGATTATGCACGAGTGAAAGTCTCGTTTCATTTCGCAATTCCAGTAAGATCCATACATGTTCCTGACGGACCTGGCTCGGATGGTACGCCCATGAACTGTTGAAATGCAGATCGAGGTTAAAACAGATAAAATAATTATGATACCCGTGCAATTCTAGCCGTGATTGCAGCCAAGATACATTGATCAAAGTGCCACTGTGATGAGTACTTACCAGATAGTCATCATATGGAGTTCTCTTTCTTTTCTTTTTCCCAAAACCGTTCATCTTGTCATTTGTTGTTGCCGATTTATCACAGTAGTGAGACGTGTCCTCATCAGGCTCTGATTGCGGGCAGATTCAGGTAAGCAGTGTGCTACTGTGACTAGGGCCTGACAACACACCTGCAAAAGTGGGTGCAATCTTCTGCATCAACACAGATTCAAAAGTAGTCTTTTCCCATTACAGCCAGGTCTCATCGTAGTTGCAGTAGATTACTGATCCGTGCTTTACGGCTTCAGTCCCCGCCGACCATGCACGGCCTCAAACCAGCACCCTCAGCCACAGGAACCAAGTCTCTTAACCACTACAGCCCCGACGTGGTGTTCAAACGTGGAATCATACCGGTCGTGATATCCACCCCACCCCTGCAGGGCACACACACCACACACAACACCACACGGACATGGCAATCCATGCACACTCAGCTCCAGCAGCACACGACCCACCACTGCTACTTAACCCGGTTACACGCACGGGCCATCTTCCCCCAGGTTCCATGCAAGCATCACCTCGAACCGGCACACTCTGCCAAAGGAACCAAGTCTCTTAACCACTACAGCCCCGACGTGGTGTTCAAAAGTGGAATTGGCCCCAACGTGGAGTTCAAAAGTGGAACCGTACCGGTTGTGATATCCACCTCACCCCTGCAGGGCTGTAGCGTCCAACGCGCACACACCACACACACTCAACGGCATGCGACCCACCACTGCTACTTAACCCAGTCGCAAGCACGCATTCCGATTCATTTAGATAAGTACTAATGTGAGTATGCCCTGAGCATGCCCAACACACCTGCAATCGACAGTGGGTTTTCTCTTTCCTTCTTTTTTTTTGTCTTTTCCGTTCTCTTTTGTTGCAGTTGTCGGTGGTGTCGTGCCTATGGATACCAATGACCACCAACACTCTGGACATGCTCCAAGGCTCAGGTGAGCCTCTACCGGGCCTGCTCAGGTCCCTCCTTGAATTCGGGTTATCCCAATTTTTTCCCTGGGATCTACTTTCTCTCATGCTTGTTGGTGATAAGCAACTGGACTGGTGTCCCTCACAATAGAAGGGGCTGTGTTCTTGTGTTAAAAAAAAAAAGAGAAGAAAGCCTTCTTCATGGCTCCAACAATCAATGCAACAGCAATGTAGTAGCCCTACTTCCCAGATGCCGCTAAAGTCTGATCACATGAGGTGCTCCTCGGCCAACAACAGGTAACCCTATCCCAGCTCCTCACTTCCTTAGCCATGGCAGCTGCAAACAGACAGGCACCACTGTGCCGCCTTCCTCACGGGTGCTTGCTGGCTGCACGTGCTGCTCCAGTGCTGCTGCATGCTGGCACTGCACGAATGTGTCTCCGCTGCATGGCCTCCTCAAGTCCGTCTTACTCGAGGCTGGAATCTGATCCTCTGGTAAGCAATCCCTCCCGGGCTGGGTATGAGTTTGGGTGCCAGCCCATGTAAACACCTGGCCAGTATCCCAACAGGACCTACTGGGCAGTTACATGGTCTGAGCTCAGTACTTCTGGGGTGCGGCGTTCGCTTACAGGTTTCAATGGGCATCCTTTCTGGTGCGCGCACATGCACACACTCATACACACACTGCATACAGACAGACATACATGCATGGCCGACCTGCAATTTCCATGGGCATCCTTTGTGGAGCATCACCGATGCATAGAACCTTACACTGTCCGTCCAGCTGTCCCTTCCTTCCCCATCCGTCCCTCCCCCGGTCGTCTGCCTGCCCCCCTCCACCTGTTCACTTGCCCATCAGTCCATACCATTCGCCCGTCCCTCCCCCTGTCCCGTCCGCTCGTTCCTCCCCCCGTCCCGTCCGCTCACCCCTCCCTCTGTCTCACCCACCCTCCCCTCCCTCTGTCTCACCCACCCTCCCTCCCTTCCCTCTTCTGTCCCTGCGTCCTTCTGTCCGATACTCCCTCCAACCCTCCATCCGTTTGTCCCTCCCTCCCTCCCTCCATCCATCCGTCCATCTGTCCGTCCCTCCATCCACCCGTCCATCCGTCCATCCGTTCGTCCATCTGTCCGTCTGTCCGTCTGTACATTCGTCCATCCATATCCATATACATATATACGTCGATACATAACATTACAACGTGCTTACATACATACATACATACATACATACATACATAAATACATACATACATACATACATACATACATACATACATACATAAATACATGTGTACATAGATAGTTAAGATTTTGTGGTACGCAGAGAACTCTGTGACAAGTTCCCCAAGGACCCCATCTCGTGCAGCTAAGTGTCTAATCACGATGGAAATTGCACTGAATGGACAAACCACCGAATTATGCCAGCAACAATGCCAGTGCGTAAGAACTTGGTGGCTGCTATGATGAAACAGACCGAAAAGAATGTCATTCTTCACAATTGGTTGGACACTATACATGTGCATGACATATATAATCACATACCTGGTGATCAACAACTTTATGTGATCCGCAACAGAAGCCACCAATTGAAGCAAATGCAAAACCCATACCAGCAATTATCATGTCCACATCTTGCACCTGCAAAAATCATACACCCGGTCGAAGGTCAGATTAATGCTGCAGCAGCCATGGTTGGTCTGCAAGCTCAATGACGCTGAGATTTCTGCCAGATCTATGTCATGCATCAAAACAGTGGGCAGTCATTACCTTTTGTTTCACTTCCAAGCAGTATCCAATCCACGTAGAATGTCCGCAAACCCACAGCTTGGTCTGTCACTCACTAAGAGTAACACGTTCCTGAAGGCCAGAGACTCGACCTGAAGCCAAACCTGTGATGATCGCATCAGGGATGAGCCGGGCAAACAAACGGCCCAGATCACAGCAAGAATCTACAGGAGAAGTAGGAAAGGAGGATGTCTCCGACGAAGGCATTCCTGCAGTAGATAACTCCCCACTCCTGTATGCTGCTCACCAGGGAAGGTGCCACCATCCTTTTGGACATTTACACTTGGATGATCGTGACAAAAATGTTAGTGTCACAACATTATCCATCTCCATTTCCAGAAGATTCCCTCATTGATATGCTTCTAAGGCATATAAATTCTGTACACGTTCTTCAGCCTCATGAGCATCAGATTGCACTCGTGCCCTCACACTCAGGTAGACTACATACTGAGTCGCACCCATGTAAATCATTGACAACATCTTTGAAATACACCTTGCACCGCAAGTCCATCAGTGTCTTCACTGTTCTGGCCGATAAGCACACTGCCGCAGTAAAAGTAGCTGAGCGGCATTAACTGCACACAAAGATCCACATGCAATTCCCAAACTCGATTTTTACCAGCTAGGAACCACAACCAGTCGGATTTTCTCTGTTGCAAAAGAAGTGTCCTCCTTTCAGACCACTTCGAAGGGGGGGGGGGGAGGAGAAATCCGTTCTGAAAGACGAGATCCGGCACTGATTTGCCTTGACCAACAATCTGCGTCAACATCTCCACCACTAAACTACCTCACGCAAGAGAACAAACTGTCCTCCCAAACATCCATTAAAATTGAAACTGTAATGACCCGCCAAAACACAGACTGAGAACACAGCTGATTTCTGGGTTTTGCCCCTGGAATGTATGCCTTGCTGAGATTCCCGCATTCTGCTGAGGTTTCCAAGTCTGCGTGTGTGCGTGCCTGCTGGTCTACGTGCCTGTCTGAGTGCTTGTCGACCTGAGTGTGTGTGTGACCCGCAAGGGCACTCGTTCGTTTGGAGGCCCCACAGGGCCAGTACTTACCTGTAGCTGCTATAAGTTGTCTTTTGCCCAGGAGGGCAGAGCCCTTAGTAGTCCCCCATAGCCTTGGCATGTGAGAGGAAGGTGAAGAGGGAAGCCCTGGCCATGGTGAACCTAACTACGGGCTGCGCACCCCTGCCCTCACGGTAAGTCAATGAGAGGAAGGTGAAGAGGGAAGCCCTGGCCATGGTGAGCCTATTGTTGTGCTGGCAGTAAGAGGGAACTTTGGATATTGATTCTGGTTCAACCACTCATTGTTATTATTATTATTTGGAAGAAGCATAAGATTGGCGAAGACAAGGTGGAGGAGGAAGGTGGAGAGAGAAGGGGGATTTGTAATTGGTCTTGCTGGTGAACATCTTCTTCTTCTTCTTCTTCTTCTTCTTTTTCTTCCTCTCTTCTTCTTTGGTCTCTATCTCTTTGCAAGTGCTTTCATTTCTTTCGCAATTGGGTGGCATTGTCTTTCCTTGTGAATTTGCACTTCGGAAATGACCAGGATCATAACAGAAACTAAACACAGAAGATTAGCAAGGCCCCTGTGCAAGGATGACAATACAGAAAGAGAGAATTGGCAATTTTCCTTCCTTTTCTTTTTAAGTCAGAAAATTCCATGAGGGATTCCGCCTTCTGAAGATAACCATCCAGGGATTACTGGCACTTACTGGAATGTTGAAGTGTTCCGTGCATCCTCTCCCAGTTTTGCCCATCACACCAAGCGAAAGACTCTCGTCAACAATGACACGGAAATGGTACTTCTTCTTAAGCTCCATGATCTTGTCCATAGGGGTGACAAATCCTGTATTCTGGCCACACCGGATCCATCATAAAACCAGGCTCAAACAATCAGAGACCCTTCTTGAGGTCAAGCAGACAAGACATATACCTCAATGGGCCAATGGGCGCAATAGCTCAAATGGGTAGCAATCCCGAGAGTTGATCCCACACAGCTGCAGGTCCTTTTAACACCGCCATCTCCCCCCCCAGCTCACACCACGCAAGGCATAACTGAGGAGAAATCTTCCCGTCTGGCATGATCACAAGTGGGTCTAGGCTATGAAGGTAGAGGGTGGAGTCCCTCATGCCAGGCTATGGAGACGGGTGAGAAATGGGTGTAGGGGATGAGAAGAGGAGAGAGGAACCTGTGTCTTCACTTCCTTGGTTGGCGCTGTATCGAGAAGGCCCCTGTGTAGGTACCGACTGGTCTTGGACTTCATTTGAGAGTGTGGCTATGGGATGGTGTTTGAATTGTCCTTTGAACATATGTGATGATCAAAGGATTAACTCACATAGTAGACAATGTAACCGAGAGAAGAGAAGTGAGGTTATGACTACAAGGAGGGCTGTTTGAGTGCTGGCAGACAGTGGCAGTAAGGGGGAATACTTGTACATGATTCACATTTCATTCATTCATTCATTCATTCATGTATTTAGTTGCTTTTTGAAGAGGAGGAAGGAGGAAGAAGAAGTTAGGAGGAAGATATTGGTTTCATCTTGTGTAATTCTATTTCTTCTATTCTCTTCATTCTGTCTCTCTCCACTTCTTCTTTGAGTGCAGCCAGTCTTGCATTTTCCTCGCAATCGAGTTTTGCAATCATAACACCCCGAAAGAAGATAGGACAAGCAGCACCTCACACTGCACAGCACAATGCACAGGCACACCATATACAGCACAGCGAGATGCACAGGCATACCAGTATATCACTTATACAAGGGACATCATTTTGGTTGCGGAAGGCGAAAAGGTGAGACGGGGGGACGAAACACAAATGAGGAGAAACCATCTCCACCCTCTCATGTGATCTTCCAGATCAGCCCAGAAATGTTCTGAAGAAATTAAAAGCTCTTTCTGTAAGATGCAATTCTCTAGCTGAGAGATTTTATCCAGCAGCCTCGACATCTAGCCCATTTTGGGCCATTTTGAGAATTTTCTTTAGTGCTTAGCATGAACCCACTGCATGTTAAACCACATGCAGGCTACAGTCCCGCAACGTATTAGCGGCCGGGCCCGTGGAGGAACCATCTCAGCCCTTTCATGTGATCTTCCAGGTCGTCCGAATAACATTCTGATTCTCTGAAGAAATTAAAAGCTCTTCGTGTACCACGTGATTCTCCAGTTGATAAATTTTATCCAGCAGCCTTGACGTCCAGCCCATTTTGCAAATATTTTCTAGTACTTATTGACCGCCGGACCTCGTCATTGATGCCTCAATCCTACAACATATTGATCCAAACCTGCATGTTGAACCACATGCATGCTACAATCCTGCCACATTTGGCCGCCGCGCCTCATCATTGATGTCTATCCCAATCCCACTCCCCTTCGTGATCCCGAGCTCGCATCGAAAATGGAATTGAAAGGAGGATCGCACCTGACAAATCGCCTCCACAATGATGAACCGCCGATTCACAACCTTCCGTCGCTTTTTACGCACATCTTCCTCTTTGACAGCTTTCAGTTTTGCCTCGAGATCATCCATGTCATTGTGCTTGAACCAAGCTACTGTACTTCTCGACAGATGAATTCCATTTTGGATTCCCCAGTGTGCTGCTTCATCACTGACGCACAATCTCACCCACACAAGGATCCAACAAAAAGCAAATCAACAACGTCAACAAATCAGCAGGCCGCTGCTTGTATTCCCTCCAGATTCCCAAAACCGTGTTCCAAATCTGCTCATCCAAAAGCATTCTGCCAAAGTGATGCAGACTCCGGACCAGTTTCTGGTTTGCCTGCATCACCACCACATATGGATCATGACATACTGTTATCTCTACCATTCCTTAATTTCCCCACCTGTCGACCACCAATCACAAACGCAACTGTTCATACGAGATAAGGAGGCTGAATTCACATCCTGATGAATATGATAACACTAGGGGCTACTTCCCTTATCCGAAAACTGGATCACCTGTCAAGGCTTCATTGACTCAATGACACTTTGGAGGGAAATTTGTTCACATTGTTTGTTTTTTCATTTCATTTTATTTTTTTTACGATGTACCAGCATAGTGTGGTGGGACAACGTCGTGCGTGGGCGCTGCCGACCGGCATGTAGGGTGTCGGTGCTGGCGATTGGCTCAGTGGCAATCCGTAGGAGCAGAGCCGGAGAGGGTACAAGAGAGAGAGAGAGAGAGAGAGAGAGAGAGAGAGAGAGAGAGAGAGAGAGAGAGAGAGAGAGAGAGAGAGAGAGAGTTCTTTCCACTCACACATTTTCTCCTCCTCATCCCCCCCCACCTCTTCTTTGTCCTCTTCTTCAGCCCCCCTATCTCATTTCTGTCATATACGTCGCCTGCCTACCATCTACCAACAGTGGCATGGCAGGTGACACAAACCAAGGGCCTCACTCCCCGACCGCCGCGTCACTGATACACAGCTGAACAAAATACTCATGAACGTGAGATGCTGGTGAGATAACTGCCCCGGCATGTTTGGCAAGGCCGATTGCACAGCATTTTGAATGTCTAGAGACCCATGACGAATCCCAATACATGTGGAATGCTGCGCAGTGGCGCGATCCACCCAGTTGCAAAAAAAAAAACAAAAAAAACGATAGAAAATGGTGAATTAAAATAAAAACGCAGACAGGAGGAGACATAGATAGAAAGAAAGAGAGACCTTGTCCTCTTCCACGCCCATCCACCATCTCGTCTTCATCCTCTTCTATGCTCGGCCGCCATCTCATTCCCTTCATCCCGTCGCCATCCTCTTCCATGCCCGCCCCCGATTTATCAACTAGAATGGCGCAGCACCTGACAGTAACAATTGCACACACCCCAGCCCTCACTCCAGGACAGAACATTCTAGATGTATTTTTTTGGCCCTCTTTGCACTGTAGATGCATTCAGGGTGATCACACATTTTGAATGTATGGACGCCAATCATCCTCTCAGATACGTTTGACATGTTGTGCGGTGAAGAGAGCCCACTAGCTTGCTTGAATCCAAAGACAGCAAAAAAAAAGGGCAAGTCGAGGTACGAAGAAAGAGAGGGAGAGAGAATTGTCCTTTCACTCCCGTTCATCCTCTACCACCCTCATCTTCTTCATCCTCCCCACCTCATCTTCGTCCTCTTCCACCCTCCCCACCTTGTTTCATCCTCGTCCTCTCTGACCACGTTGTCTTTGTCCTCTACCACCCCGATCCGATCAGTGGACGTTGGGAGAATCGGGGACAGCCCATTTTCCACGATCTTCTTTTTCTCTCTGTCGTTTTGTCTGCTCCGTGTGTTTCTATTTTTTTGTTTCCTCTTCAAAAAAACTTACACACAGCATTGCAATGGCCTCAATTCAAAACCTGCACAAACGTAGGCCAGGTCATAAATTATAGTCAGAAGTCAAAAGCCGTGTCACTTTTCTTAGAGGGGTCTGAGAAAAGTCCTAAGGGTCAACAGGTACCAGGTCCAGGGCCAAATGCCGCTGCCTATACCGCAGGCAAGGTAGTTGACTCCAGGGAAATCAGGGGTCGGGCCCAGACCTGTGAAGGGTAGGTCAAGAGTCGAACTTCGTCAGGACTCAACCATGGTCACAAATCTCATGCACAATCAATGCCTCTCTGTACTACTCCAGAAGGTTCCAGAGCCTACTGGGTCCAGGCACACATTCGTGGACAACAAATCTGGGACGCCCAGATCGAGAAACCTCCACCATCGGGGGAGGCAGGCTGAGGCAGGCAAAGGGAGGTCAAATCGACAAAAGAGCAGCGGCGCATTCATTCTGCCTTGCATGCGCTGGTGGCGAGAGAGCTGCAGAGCGCCGAAGGTAGAAGGAGGCTGGCACCTAAGAGGAAGACAGCTCCAGCACAGGAAGAGGGAAGAAGAAAGTGGTCACAGCTAGGAAGGCCAATGGAATGTTCTGTTTGGGGACACACAATGGTTCAGCGAATAAGGCATAGTTATTCGCTTTAGCATGCAAAACACATACCAGATAATTATATCGCCACGCTTACAGAATGCCGGGATTGTGCTCGGTGCAGTGGCAAGCCCATACGAATATAGAATGCAGTCCTCTGTTCCCATGAACCTCGCGACGCGCTCTTCAAACTCAACATGAACATCTGCACACCAGATGACCATGGTAAAGCAATGCCTTGAACATTATTAGCCCGAACGGAACCCATAACGTTCAAACTACTTCTATTGTGGATAGCTGATCATCTTTCCGACGCCTAATGCACCAACAATTTCCTCAACATTTGCCACCACGAACTACCACCTGCCACGAGGGAAGCAGGCATTAGCCGCCAACCCTTACTCCAATCATTGGTGGAAGGAGGCGGCGGGGCGGAGCATTATGTTGCAGGAAGATGTAGAGAAGAAGATGATTCATCCTATTGCAGCACACAGAACATCATAATCCTTGAGGTGCTTCATCTGTTCATAACTTCATATCTACCTCATTGGGGACATAGAGCCTCTATGTCTTCTGGTAGACAACACAACGGGATAACGGGTAGCAGAAGAAATAGAGGACATGTTATTTCATCCGAAATAGAGGACCTCTAATTCGAAGGTCTCTCTATACATAGGTTGCAGCCAAATTGGCAGTACGATATCTGGTTGGGAGACTATCAAGACGTCAAAATACTAGCTCCAAGCCTGGTATTTCTCAGAAGATTTAACTCACATAAAAGTACAGCAGAAGTCATCGCTTGAATAAAGCATACACAGGAAACCACCAACATATCCAGTGCCCGAAGCTGATTCCAAAGCCTCTCCATTACTGCCAACAGGTAACACAATTTGACAACTACTCACCAGCGTAATTACCCCATCAGAAGCAAATAACTTGAACTAGCTACTACCGTCTTCACCCGAATATAAAGCTCGACCATTATAGCTGTATTTGGGCCATTTTCAGTCCAGATGCAGCGACAATGACCAGGCGTTCTATTCGGGTGAAGACAGTAGTATAACTCAAAAAAGAGTGCTCCTTGAGTCCTTGTCACACTGCCAAGAGGTCACCCATCTCTCTGCCACACTTCCTTGTCCTCGCTGAAACCCCTCTTTGTATTGCTAGTGCAAAGCCCACATGACATCAGCCTGAACACAATCGTAGCTTCACGTGAATTTCAGGGTAGAGGATTGAGTGTCTGATTTGGATGCCCCACAACAACAAAAAAACATGTGCACGCAAAGCGGTCGGAAACAGATATAGTACCACGATCAAGAAAGTGCAGCCAAAGGGGAAAGAAACATGTGGACGCAAAGAAGTCAAAAACAGTGACGCTATCACCATCGACAAAGGAGAGGGGGAGAAAAAAGGGAAACTGCACAAACAAGGCAGAGACCCAAATTTGCAAACAAAAGGACTGGCCCAGTGGAATTGCACCTGAATGTGAAAATGCCCTACGTTCATATCACGCTACTTCTGTCCTTCTAAGCATAAACGGGCTGTTTTCACTCATCACATCCCCTGTGGACGGGTCTTATTTACCCATCATAAGCCAAGAATGGAACATGACTGACCCTGGCCATTGTGGGCACAAAGCATCATACACAGACCTGGCTCAATAAGACAACAGCGGAGATCTCAGCAGAGTATAATAGTAGATGTTGCCTTCAACAGGACATGCAGAAGTCATCCAGCATCACATCCAGTGTCAAACTAATTGCCTTATACTTACCGATTGTGCCATAGAATCCTCGTGGCCCACACGCACCGACCCCATATTTCTCTATCGCAGCTCTGGATACCCTCTGATGAAACAGGAATGACAATGATGTCAGAGAACTCATCTGTCAAAGCTTTCAGAAATCTTTTATAAGCTTGAAAATCAGCAAACATCATTGACCTTGAACCAACAGCATCAGCTCCACAGTGTGTAGCAGCGCACTGTAAGCTGGGAGGGAAATTTTAGGAGAGTCCATACCAAAGTCCAAGCATGCAGACAAACAAATGGTATCCAGCCCTCTCCTTGCCTCTCGCACATGCTCAGCACAGCACTGTCCCCGCAGTAGTTCTCAACAGCATCAACTTCGCAACCAGGAAATACAAGAACTAACGTAATTAAACAGCTGTGTCCCACCTGTCTCCCCATCTCTCTCTCTCTCTCTCTCTCTCTCTCTCTCTCTCTCTCTCTCTCTCTCTCT